GACGAAGAATACGAGTCTTTGCTTCCCGATGACAACGTAGACGGACGGGGCCTTTTTGACAAGCTAAGACGCAAATATGGCAGCAGCAGGGCCCGCGATGCTTTGCGCTCTTTAAGAGATAAATTCAAGTCTAAGAATCCCCACGAACCCGTCCCGGAGTATCTACAAATGGAAGACTTGGACGCAAGAACTGAAATATTAAGAGAAGTCATCGACAACGTAAAGCAGCGATATCCTAGCGCAAATCTGGCTCTCTTAGAGTTCGGAGTAGGAGATAAAGGCCAAATCCAAGTTCGATACGCAGGTAGAGAAAAATGGTACAACTTTTATCAAAGAAAGGAGTCTACCTTACTTAACAATGGCCTTTCGAAAGAAATAACGGCAGCATTGGGAACTCCTAACCTAACGCTATTGTCTACCTTRARTAAAAAGGAAACTACGAGGCTCCAAGAAGAATTCCTTAARAGCGTCAAAATGCCAAGCACTAAAGCAAGCCTTGAATCTATAAATGCATTACTTAATAAGCAACAAGAAAAACTCCAACGATTAGAAACCACTGAAGAGGAAAAGATTGAAGAACTCAAAAAACTTCCGCCAAATAGTGACGCGACTGGAGGCTTGATGAGTTACTTACGAAACGCAAAAGCCGAAAAGGAAGCACTTCAAAAGGAAATACAGGAAAATAAGGTAACCATCAACGACCTTACGCGACAACTCGACGAAGCAAAAGGGGGTGATATCGATAGTCAATTCGAAGCCGTCCAGGAGGAAAACCAAGTATTGCAGGGGCGCATAGAAGAATTGGAAGACGAATTCATGAAACAAGGCAGGCTAACTACTGAAAGTCATGCCGCCGAAATTGCAGACTTTAAAGCTAGGCTCTCTAAGCTGCTAGAAGAAATGAGCGCAGCAAGGAATCAACTAAGGGTTGCTTTGAATGAATCGGCGGGGAAAGACGCAGAACTACAGCGCTTGGGAAAAGAATTAATGGAGTCCGTTGACAGAGAAAGGCAAGTAATGGCGGACAAGGCAGTGGCGGAGGAACGAATACGACAACTTCGACAGGCCGTCGAAGACTTGGAGGGGCAAATAGAGCGGCAGCAGGAAATAAGTAATGACCAAACTCGTTCCGAAGAAGAAAGGGAAGCAGCTCAAAGGGAATTAGAGGCCCTTTAGGAAAGACTGGTGGAATTACAGGCGCAAAGAGAAGGTCGGGAAAGGGAGTTGGGGCTTACCACCAAGGAAAAGATAGAAAAGCTCCTGGTGAAGTATGGTATTCCGCTGGCATTTGCGGTCGCTATTTCGAGCGTAGTAGGAGTAATCTTATCCGCGCTTAAGGCTACGGGCGCAGGCGTAAAGAAGTTAGGTAATGGGCTGACGGACTTGGGAAAAAAGATGGCAGCCGGCTTGCCTGGGCTGCTTGGTAGCGTTCTTAGCCTGGCACTTAGGACCGGCGGAGAACTGTTAAAGTTTGTAGGGAATAACATCTGGATATTAGTAGTAGCTATTGGGGTGGTCCTCCTGAAGAAGATGAAGACTTAATCTTGTCCTTATCATCGGGCGGTGTCCTGCTTTGAGGATAATGAAAGACAGTATTAGCGCCGCCTTGGTAATTCGGAACCAACGGCAACACACTCATGGTAGAAATGGGCTTATGACTCCAGGCTGCATTAGCGGGCCTACGAGCTATGCGATTTATCCCAAACTTGCCGTCATTAGAAGTGACTTGCAACTTAGCATATTTACAATTGGCTAGCATATGAAAAGTCACTGGCGTTAGGTCTTCAGTGGACCTAGTGTAGGGCTCCATCGAAAAATGGGTAAYTTTCCTGGTGTTCGTTGAAGTTCGATAAGGAAGCAGGGGCTTATTATTCTCATCAATGAGCCTAAACCCCACATTTGCATGCGTATTCGCATTAATGCTAATAGTGCAAATGACCAATGCAG